TTCCTGCTGTTCCATTACATGATTAACAATAAAGATAGGAGGGAAAAATAAGGCGTTTCTGATGTGATGTACTCATTTGGCTTTAGATCTACGTTGAAACTGATCAAAGCCAAAAAAGCCCAACATATTTCCTCATTAATATTTAATAAAACCTTACTGTCTCTCTTTTTCCAGCAGGCTTCCTAAAATTATAAGCAATGGAGGAAGAAGTAAGCCAAATGCAACCTCTGAATGAGAAGCAGGTGCAAAACTCAGAAGGTGGCTATGTATGGCAGGTCACTGATATGAACAGACTGCACCGTTTTTTGTGTTTTGGTTCAGAAGGTGGCACTTACTATATCGGGGAGAAGAAACTGGGCTTTGAAAATACAGAAGCTTTAATAAGATTGATTGAAGATGGCAAAGGCTGTGATGTGGTACAGGAAATAAAGACGTTCAGCGTAGAAGGCAGGACAGCAAAACAGGAACCGTTGCTTTTTGCTCTAGCAGTTTGTTCACAGTGCTCTGACGCAAAAACTAAACAAGCGGCGTTTAAGGCTATTTCTGAAGTGTGCCGCATACCAACCCATCTCTTTACTCTTATCCAGTTTAAAAAGGATCTGAAGGAGGGGATGAAATGTGGCATGTGGGGCCGTGCCCTGAGAAAAGCTGTTGCAGACTGGTATAATGGGAAGAATGGCATGGCTGTTGCTCTAGCAGTTACAAAATATAAACAAAGGAATGGCTGGTCTCATAAAGACCTTCTGAGGTTGTCCCATCTAAAACCTGCCAATGAAGGTAACGGTATTTTATTAATCTTTAGTAAAAACAGTATGCAGTCTTGTAAATCTGTTTCTTGCATGTCTCTGTCTTGGAAGCTTAAATGTCATTTTGGCGTGATGGTGTCTCCTGATGGTATCTTACAGATTAGAGAAGACTACAAAAGGTGGCCCATATATCTTCACTCTTCAAGAGTAAAGCCAGTTTCTTATTACTTGTCTTGTTGCTGTCAAGGCTGGGTTGAATAGTGCTTACAATTTTTTTTCTTTTTTCATATCAGTTGGAAGATTTTATTAATACACTTATTTTTCATTATTCAACTAGATATGTTGTGTGCAATTTAGATTTGACCGTGATCTTAGTTGTATGCCTCCCCTTAAGTTATAAAAAACCCTAGCTTTACAAATGAAAAGCAAAGACAACCTGAGAATACTCTGCTGCATGGAACTTGGGGTAAACATAATATATATAAGCTGCAAATTGGACATCGACTTTTCATTGCATTTTCTGAGTAGGTTTTTCCTTGTATTCTTCATACTTAAGTGTTTTGTGTCAAAGAGGGTAGAGATGTTAAGAGCACAGATTGTGAATTATACATGTTAATGTATTTCAGTCTCCTAAATTTAGAGAAGTGAAACCTTAGTATGCTTCTAACTAGTATATGTACAAGGTCTACTAAAAGCTCTAATACTTCACCATAATCTTGAATACAAAATATTTTTCTTTTTCAATAGGAATTGCTGTACTCACTAAATATATCACCAAGGGTTGGAAGGAAGTTCAAGACGCATATAAAGAGAAGGCACTTTCTGTTGAGACTGAAAAACTCTTAAAATATCTGGAAGCAGTGGAAAAAGTAAAACGCACAAAAGATGAATTGGAGGTTATTCATTTGATTGAAGAGTATAGTTTAGTTAGGGAGCATCTCCCAACAAACCATTTGAAATCTAAAGAGGTGGGTAAATTAGAATAGTATCATACAAGCTAGTGTTTTATAAAGCAATATTTTGTGCCTCTTATGAAGTCTAAATTGCTAACCATTTATTTTTTTTGCAAAGAAAAGATTTTAAGGCTGTTTTGAAATGATATAAGTAGTTAAGATAAAGTGAGACAAATGTGTCTAATAGTTTTAACATTTTAATATACATTTACATTTTTACTTTGTCTTATGTACACACAAGATATGAGTTCTTATACTGAGTTTTGCCTCTCTTTTTTTTTCTCCCTGTTCTGATATCATATCAGGTATGGAAAGCGTTGCTACAGGAAATGCCCCTTACTGCAATGTTGAGGAATTTGGGAAAGATGACAGCAATTTCAGTACTAGAACCAGGAAGCCCAGAAGTGTCACTAGTATGTGAAAGACTGAAAAATGAGAAAATGCTAAAAAAGGTATGAACTGTTTTTATCACTTGAGGCTTGTATTTGTGTGGTTTGGTAACTCTGTGGAAAAATTGGAAGATTGTGGGCTTAACTGCTCAGCAGTTCAGTGGGTGGAAAATGGGCTTCATGCTAGAACCTAGAGAGTTCTCATGAATGGATCTGTATTGTCCTGGCAAGAAGTGGCCAGTGGTGTCCTGAGGGCTCCGTGCCTGGACTGGTGCTTTTCAACATCTTCATCAGTGACTGGGATGTGGGAGTGAAAAGCTCGCTGGCCAAGTATGACACCATGTTATGTGGGAGCATGGTCAGGCCAGAAGATAGGTTGCAGATACAGGCAGACCTGGACAGGCTGGAGAGTTGGACAGACTGGAACCAGATGAAGTTTAACACTCAGAAGTGTAAGGTGCGCAATCTGGGGGCAAACGATCCCCAACATACCTACAGGCGCAGTGGCGACAATTTGACTTGCACCCTGGCCAAAAGGGACCTAGGGGTAGTGACCGACCATCACATGAACATGAGCTGGCAGTGCGATGCTGTGACCAGAAGGGCAGACAACACGCTGGCATGCATTAACCATTGCATCTCATGCAAAACTAAGGAAGCAATACTCCCACTGTACTCCACACTGGTGACACCGCAGCTGGAGTACCGCATCCAGTTCTGGACGCCGTGCTTGAACAAAGATGTGGAAAAACTTGAGAGGGTCCAGAGAAGAGCCACAGGTATGATCAGGGACTTGCAAGACAATCCATACGAGAAGAGGCTGAGGAACTTGGGCCTCTACAGCCTACAGAAGAGAGCGCTGAGAGGGGACTTGGTTGCAGCTTACTGCTACATCGGGAGTACATCAAGAACTGGGTGAACAGCTATTCACTAGGGCACTCCTGGGGAAAACCAGGAGCAATGAATACGAATGCCTGGAAGGCTGCTTCAGGCTCAATTCCAGGAAAAACTCCTTCACAGTCAGGGTGTCCAGACTGTGGAATAAACTCCCTCCCGTGGGAGATGGAGGCAGGGACAGAAGGTGTCTAGGTTATTACGAAATGGGACAGCTGATAACCAACACCCAGGAAAAGGCCAATCTGCTTAATGGGTACTTCACGTTGGTCTTTTGTCAGTCCAGTGGGATCACCATGCCTAGCAAGACGCAGAACGGCCAGGATGAGAGTGTATTTGTACCCAGGATTGGTGTTGATCTGGTAAAGGATCACCTAGAGAGGCTGGACGTCTTCAAGTCAGCTGGTCCTGGCAGATTACACCCTATAGTACTCAAGGAGCTGGCAGGTGTCATAGCCCAACCATTGGCAAAAATATTTGAAAACTCGTGGCACTCGGGTGAAGTACCTGAAGACTGGAAGAAGGCCAATGTGGTACCCATCATAAAGAAAGGGCAGAAAGTAGATCCCAAGAATTACAGGCCAGTCAGCTTGACCTCAATCCGTGGGAAGATTCTGGAGAAAATTATCAAGGAGACCCTACTGGATAAGCTGGCTGAGGGCAACATCCTGAGGGATAGCCAGCACGGGTTTGTCACGGGTAGGTCTTGCCTGACCAATCTCATCTCCTTCCATGACCAGGTGACATATCACCTGGAGAAGGGAGAAGAGATTGATGTCATATATGTGGACTTTAAAAAAGCTTTGATCTAGTGTGCCATGACCTCCTCATGGAAAAATTAGTCAACTGTGGCCTCAGCTACACCACAGTCTGATGGCTGGGAAATTGGCTCTGAGGTCGGACCCAGAAAGTAGTGGTTGATAGTAGCGAATCATTATGGCGCTCCATGAACAGTGGTGTCCCCCAAGGCTCTGTCCTTGGACCGGTTCTCTTTAACATCTTTATGAACGATATGGACATTGGTGTCAGAAGCGCGCTTGCTAAGTTCGCTGATAACACTAAACTTTGGGGCATAGCGTCCAAACCTGAGGACAGGCTAATGATCCAGGCTGACTTGGATAATCTTAGTAAGTGGGTGGATACAAACCTGATGATGTTCAATACCAAAAAAGGTAAGGTACTCCACCTCGGGAGTGCTACAGCAGTACTACGCTTGCTAGCATCATTGCTGAAAGAGACTTGGGAGTCATGATTGACCACAAGATGAACATGAGCCACCAATGCGATGTCACAGCTGGTAAAGCAAACAATATTTTGGCTTGCATACATAGATGCTTCTCAAGTAAATCTCAGGATGTCATTCTCCCGCTGTACTCAGCCTTGGTGAAGCCACAGCTGGAATACTGCATCCAGTTCTGGGCTCCACAATTCAGGAAGGATGTGGAAAAGCTTGAGAGAGTCCAGAGGAAAGCCAGGCTCATGATCAGAGGACAAGAGAATAGGACTTACAAAGTGAGGCTGAGAGCCATGGGACTCTTCAGATTTGAAAGGGGTTTGAACTGTAATTGGGATGGGCCAGAGGGTTTGTTCTCTTGGCTACGGGTAAAAATGGTATGTTATGATTTTGTGTTCATTTTTGGATGAGTGGCTATATTATTTTTTTTAAAACTTGAACCGGTAATAAAATAATCAGAAAATTGCAACCATAATCTACCTGATGTGTTGTCTGTTCTGTATTTAAAAAAAAAAAAAAAAATTACAAACTTCCGTGCATTTTTAAACCTTGGCTCCTTGATATGTTTTCCTTGTAGGCTCGAATACATCCATTCCACATTTTGGTTGCATTAGAGACCTATAAAGGAGAACGTGGAATCCGGGGCAAACTTCACTGGCGTCCTGATGGGGATATTTTAGAGGCTCTTGATGCTTCATTTTACAAAACATTCAAGGTAATGGCCCATTCATGACTAACTCTTGTTAAAGAAATTGTGAGGCTAGAATATTTTAAAACATCATAAGCTTTTGGGGGACACATGCACTAAGGGTCTAGATTTACGACCGAACAATGTTCATGTAAACAAGAAGCAAACAGACCATGTAAGCCTCTGAGAGAACTTTACCCAATCTAGAAAAAAGAATAAGGGGTAAAGTATACTAATATACTTTATGCTAATTTAGATTTCATGTTTTTGTAGCTTACTGTCAAGTAACAGTTTTACCTAACGTAGAGGCTGTTACTGGTTACCCACCACCTAGTAGTGAGGTACAGTAATAACAGCTGGCATCTGATTTAACTTGCATAAGTCGCATGTTATGCAAGGAGCAATCTCAGGTTTGGTCAGGTTTGTTCAAACTCAGCAAACCTGACTAAAATGGTTAAAAAGTTTGCCCTTGCTGCTTTGTCAGTTCCTTTTTCTTCTCAAACTGCATGTGGGTTTGAAATAGCGGTGCACCCATACGTCGGTCCCATATCGGATCGGCACAGATACAAAGAAAATAAACAGTATCAGCAACAGTCATTTTTTTGGCTGACATAGCCGATAATGTTGCTGATAAATGCCCAGTGAATGCGCCCAGCCACAGCACAGCACGCAGGTGTCCAGGAGCGCAGCCCCGCAGCGTGGAAAGCAGCCAGCCCCAGCTGGTATGTCTTGTGAGGGAAGCAGTGTGGGGGGCAGATCAAGGCCCACAGTGAAGGAGGCGCTGGGGCAGGGGCAGGCATTGCACAGCTGGTGCAGGACAGAGCTGCAAGTGGCTTGTCTAGGGGGCATTGGGGGGGCATGGCTCCCACCACTGCACACCCCGTGGGGGTGTGTGCTCATGCATCTGCACGTGGAGCAAGGATGGGCTGCCACTGGGAGAGGGATTTGGGAGGGCTATGGTGAATTTTGAGGTGGGCACAGCTGCTCCCCTATAGCCCTGCTTCTAGTGCCACTGCTGTCCACCACGAGCCCAGCCCACTGGGAAGAGCCTGACACTGCCCCAAGCAGCCCACCGTCACCCCACGCACAGATCTGGAAGCACGCACTGTCCCCCGCCCCCATGCTGTCCTGGGGTGTGCGCAGTGATAGGAGCTGCACTCTCCTTGCACTCCCAGACATGGCGATCGTGGGTCAGTCCCTCACCAGGCCCCTGCCCTGCTTCACCCTGGCTGTGCAGCACCTGCCCCACCCTCTCCCTTACCGTGAGGGCCTCTATCTGTCCCCCCCCACGCGTCTTCCTTCACCCCTGTTCCTCATAACAGACTTATCAGTCAGACACCTCTCCCCACGCTGCCTGGCTGCATTTTGGAATTGGATCATTATTGGCCGTTATGGCTTGCTAAAAATTGGCCATCAGTATCGGCCCAAAAAACCTCTGTTGATGCACCCCTAATTTGAAAGGTTAGAAGGATTTTTTTGGGGGGGGGGTGACAGGCTATCTAGTATCTGTTTTAATAGCTGTGGGTTTGCTTTTTAAAACAGATTGATATTGCTCTAAAAAGAGAACAGGAAATAATTTGACTTCCTGAATTGCTTTTAAATGTATTGATGGATTAAATTAGTTGAGAGAACTAAAAAATACATATACGTAGCAAAATGTGGATTTACGGTATTTCTTTTTCCATTTTAGGTGGTAGAACCAACAGGAAAGCGCTTCATACTTGCAGTTGATGTCAGTGGTTCCATGTCACAGAAAGTTCTTGGTAGTGTGTTAGATGCAAGTACAGTTGCTGCAGCAATGTGTATGGTAAGAATTGATTAGTTGGATTAATTGTCCTGAATTCTTTACCATTCACAATCCAGTGTGCTGAGGTAGTTCTCATTGCTCTTCTTACTTTGAAAGTTGCCACTAGATGTTTCTACCTCACTGGGGAAATCTGTGCTTGATGCACTGAAAGTGGCTCCCATACCAGCCCTCCTGCAGGTCCTTTTATGCCCATGAGGCTTTTAGTAAGTAACCAGATTCAATAAGAGTAAGCATTGTACTAAGCTGGTCCCTACCATAATCGGGCAGTCTTCAGGCTACTTTTGTTTGTTTAAAGTATTTATTCTAATTCTTCCTAATATCTATCCTAAGCACCTCATCAAATATCGCCTGCACCCAAATAATTCCCTACCCCTGACTTAATTGGAATTTTAATATAGGAAGCCTGTGAGCATCTGTCTTTGAGGCTAAATTATGTAACCTTTTGCTTTTAAGGTTTTAAAAAGTTTCCCTCTTTTTTTTTTTACGGGATGAGTTAAAACCTGCGCTGACGGATTTTTTTTCTGTGTGTGTTAGAGGCAGCAGTTCTTGTTTTGCCTTTTGTAAATTTGAACTTTAAATTAGTTTTGTGTTTAAGTTACAGACCTTTTCTGCATTTAAAAATATAGTAGTTTCCCTAACAGGGTGAACAGAAAAAAAAATCAAGTTTTACAAATGGAAGCTAAAAGCTAAGTGTGGGTGTGTGTGTAGAGAGAGAGTGAGTGATTAGACTTCCCAATTATTTACTTAAGATCTTTACAGGATGTAGAAGAATGTGGGGAGCTTTGTAAAGGCAGCATTGAGTCCAGATATTAACCTTGCTTTGTTAGGGGTTGGTTGATCCAGAGGGAGTACAGTGGTGCAGCTACATCTCCCTTTTTGGAATGAAGTACAACATGGGAGCATCTGAAAACGTTTAAGACGTAGAATCATAGAACGTTAGGGTTGGAAGGGA